GAGCAGATGCTAAGACAGCGGTCTTCGCAGTATGAGCGGTCCGACAACCTTGCATGTCTGTCGGCACCCTTGGTAACACCCGTTGTCACGAGCGTGAGAGACCTTGCTGAGCTAGTCCGTAGCATTGTACGCGACGAGCTGCAAAAGCTTCACGCAGTACCTTCACAGCCTCAAGTGGCTGCTCTGACAGACGTCGTTCCTGAAGAGGTGCGGCATCTGGTACAACCATTAGTGCCACCTCCAACCGAAGCTCCTCTGCTAACGTACACAGAAGCTGTACGCACTCCTGCACCGGCAGCCAACTATCTTCCCCGATCGACTAGCCTGCAGACGCCGCAGCACTTTTCGGGCCTGCCACACTATGAAAACCAACGACCGACTTGTCTGCAGATGCCGCAGTACTTCTCGGGCCCGCCACACTATGAGAATCTGTGACCTAATTTGCAGAAATCTAGCGTGTGGCACGCTTCCGACAATTGGCCACTATGCTACCACTGTGGTGAGCCAGGTCACTTGTACCGGGAGTGCTCGTACAGACAGATGGGCCTACCTGGATTTCGGCCAGACGTTCGTCGGCCCAAGGAAGGGGAACGACCCCGCGCCATCGCAGAATACTTAGCAAGTCTACCGTCTCCAAATCTTCAGCGACGCCAATCACGCTCTCTGTCTCCTCGACGCTCTACGTCTGCGAATCAATACTCTACTTTTGCCGATGTTGTTGCGGGACGATCTGCTAGGTCCCCAAGTTCACGCCGGGAAAACTAGAATCAGTGGCCTCCGGGGTGGGACCGCTTTAAGCTATCGTCAAAACAGCCTCCTCCGACCCATCCGCCGACCTTCGACGATTCCTTTCAGCCAACACCTCACATCGCGGACGAACCCGTTTCTGCAGACATTGCCATCCTTGTCGACAAACATCCAGTGACTGCTCTGGTCGACACCGGCGCCAACTACTCAGTTATCAGCGCTGAACTTGTGGCTGAACTCAGGAAAGTCACGACTCCTTGGGGGCATGGACCAAACCTTCAGACAGCAGGTGGTCATCTCTTGACACCAATCGGGAGATGTACCGCAAGGCTGCAAATCTGAGTCGACGTTCGTTGCTTCTTTCGTTGTGCTTCCCGAATGCTCCCGGAAAGTTATCCTTGGCATGGATTTTCTTCGCGAGCACGGCGCTGTTATAAATCTTCGAGACTGCCTCGTAACGTTTGCTGACGACTATGGCCCGAAGCCTAGAGATACCGATCCGCAAAAGACTGCGCTTCGCATTGTCGACAACACCATCACACTTCCGCCACGCTCCAGTATGTTTGTTACTGTACATAGTGACGTAGACCATGACGGTAGTGGTATCGCTGAAGCCAACCTTTCAATGCTCTTGTCTCAGCAAATCTGTGTTGCCCGCGGCATAATTCAATTTAAACGTGGGACGACTGAGTTGTTGGTCACCAATTTTAGTAGAGCATACCAACATTTGGCCAAGCGAACAACTATCGCTCATTTCGAAGCCATTGACGATGAAGCGTGTCCGACGATAGCCCCAATTTCTGCAGCCGTTGAAAGTGACACCGCAGTAGCCGATACAGTCGATGTCAATCCGAAGCTGTCATGTGCGCAGAAAGAGCAAATTTGCTGTATCCTCCACATGTTTAGCGACTATTTCACATCTACACTTAAGATAAAACAAACGCCAACCGTAAAGCACCGCATTGTCACTGACCATGCTGAGCGACCCATACGTGAGCACGCCTACCGAGTATCACAAAAGGAAAAAGAGGCAATACGTTCCCAAGTGAGGCAGATGCTCGAAGATGGCGTAATCCAACCCTCGAACAGTCCATGGTCGTCCCCCGTCGTACTAGTAACGAAGAAGGACGGCACTCTCCGATTTTGCGTCAATTACCGCAAAACTCAACAAAGTCACAAAGAAAGGCGTTTATCCGCTTCCGCGCATCGACGACTCACTGGACCGCCTCCGACGTGCCCAATACTTCTCCTCTATCGATTTACGCAGTGGCTACTGGCAGATCGAAGTTGATGAACGCGACCGAGAGAAAAAAGCATTCATAACGCCTGATGGTCTGTACAAATTCAAGGTGCTGCCCTTCGGTCTGTGTTCTACCCCTGCGACATTCCAGAGGATGATGGATACAGTGCTCTCCGGTCTCAAATGGGAAGCATGCCTTGTTTAATTAGACGACGTCGTTGTCTTCTCGCAAACGTTTGAGCAGCGACTTAGATCTGTGTTTGCTGCAATTCGCACGGCAGGCCTATCACTGAAACCAGAAAAATGTCATTTTGGTTACAACAAATTAAAGTTCCTTGGCAACCTTGTTAGCCCTGATGGTATGCGGCCGGACCCAGACAAAACATTGGCTGTCGTAGATTTTCCACCCCCTGCCAACAAACGTGATGTGCGTCGATTTTTAGGCCTCTGCGCATACTACAGGCGCTTTGTGCAAAATTTCGCAAACATTGCCGAACCCCTAACTCGTCTGACAAAAGAAGATGTTCCCTTCGTGTGGGGCCCTGAGCAAACACTCGCTTTCTCCAAGCTCCAGCAGCGTCTCCAGTCTGAGCCCTTACTCGGACACTTTGACGAATATGCCGACACTGAACTACACACAGACGCCAGTAACATCGGCCTTGGTGCAGTCCTCCTCCAGTGGCAAGGCGGCCTCGAACGCCCTATTGCTTATGCGAGCCGGATTTTATCATCTGCGGAAGCGAATTACACAACCACTGAAAAGGAGTGCCTAGCTGTTGCCTGGGCAATAGCTAAATTCAAACCGTACCTGTATGGTCGCCCGTTCAGAGTTGTTACCGATCATCATGCGCTCTGCTGGTTGGCGAACCTTAAAGACCCTTCCGGACGTCTGGCCAAGTGAAGCTTACGCCTTCAGGAGTTCGATTTGACAGTCTTGTACAAGTCTGGCCGGAAGCATACTGACGCGGACTGCCTTTCCCGAGCTCCTCTTAAACAGCGTCAGGTGATCACGATCTCGACGGCCGTTTTCTCTGTGCCCTTAGTGTATCCGACTTGGCTGAACAGCAGAAGAATGATTCAGAGCTTCGACAATTCATCGAATTTCTTTAAGGCCGTACGCCGCATCCACCACCAGCATTCGCCCGCTCGCTATCATCGTTCTACATTCGCAGAAATATCCTCTATAAAAGAAACTTCGACCCTTACGCGACTGAGTACCTGCTCGTCATTCCGCCAGCGTTACGAGCCGATTTCTTGTCCGCCTGTCACGATGAGCCTTCCTCAGGCCACTTGGGATACACACGTACCTTGGCCCGGATTCGCCAACACTACTACTGGCCTAAGCTCAGTCGAGACGTGAAGCATTACGTGAAGACGTGTCACGAGTGCCAGCGCCGTAAAGCACCACATCAGCGCCCCGCCGGCTTTTTGAAGCCCGTCACTCCTCCGACACAAGCGTTCCAACAAATTGGCATGGATCTACTCGGACCTTTTCCTAAGTCTCGTGACGGCAACCGCTGGATTGCGATCGCTACTGATTACATGACGCGCTACTGCGAAACGAAAGCATTACAACGTGGCACCGCCATTGAGACTGCCCACTTTTTTATGAAGAACATCGTCTTCCACCATGGAGCACCAGCAGTTGTCATAACTGATCGTGGCACAGCTTTTACCGCCTGGATGATACAAGACGTCATGCAGCTTAGCGGCACAGTACATCGAAAAACTACTGCATACCGCCCACAAAGCAACGGCCTTACAGAGCGACTAAACAAGACGATCGCCGACATGCTATCCATGTACGTTGACCAAGACCACAAAAACTGGGATGACATCCTCCCTTACGTCACGTTCGCTTACAACACCGCTGTGCAAGAAACAACTGGATTCACACCATTCCGGTTGCTTCACAGCAGGGAGGTCACTACAATGCTGGATGCCATGCTTCTACCAGACAGACGTCAGATTAGTGTCAAGACGAAAGAATTTATCAGACTGGCAGACGCAGCTCGTAAGCTTGCAATCGAACGAATCCACAATGCATCGACTCGTTGCGGTACAACGCTCATTGTTGCGATGTCTCTTACCGACCCGGAGAACGAGTATGGTTGTGGACTCTCATTCGACAACGGGGCCGGTCGGAAAAGTTGTTACGCCACTATTTTAGTCCCTGTGGAGTTCTCCGCCGTCTCAGCGAAGTAAACTACGTGGTTCTGGACGAGGACATGGCTCGTGAATACCGCCGTTCACAACAGCCACACGTCGTCCATGTTTCGAGGATGAAACGATTTTACCAACGCTGACTATTCGTCAAACTTCCTTGAGTAGACTTAGAGTGATTGTGAACACCCACTTGTGTACTGCTTATCGTATGTCTTTTCTTTTCATCTGGTAATTATGTTGTGACATCGGCACGATATTCTTTGCGAAGGGGGGTAATGCCACTAGTACAAGTTCTGAAAGTATTATTTCCATAGATGCTGGCAGGCTTTTATGGGCCGCTGTTCAGAAGAGGACGAAGATGCGCGTGCCGAGAAAAACGATAAAGTCGTATTGCCGTTGTTCGAATCAATTTGACGTCCTTGTGTGCCATTATCTACAGGTTACAGTTACGTTGTAACGTGAGAATATGGTCTAAGCATAGTAAACTTTCAAGTGTAACATACTTTTGATGCAATCACTTGCATTCTACTGAAAGTAAAATGCTGCAACTATTCAAAGTTGTTTCCACTTCCTCTGAACCAAAAGAATGACACTTGCACAGGCCTTATTTCAAAAAAAAAAAATATTGTGCAGGTTCGTTAGGTCATGGTACATATGCCCAGTTTTCTTTGAGTGATTTATAAAATTCGAATTTGATTTGAAATTATTCAATAAAAGTGACTATTCGCTTAGAATAGCGTTGTTGCCTCGTCTGCACCTTTGTACCAAGGTGTGCCACTTTTCTGTATTTAACCCTAAAGCCCAACTGTACTCCAACGTTCCACAAAGCTGACACAGAAGTGCTCACCCTTGGAGAGATCAAGGAGCAAGTTGTCGGCCTTGAGATCCCGATGGGCCACACCGTGTTGGCCCAGGTGGCAGACAGCCTCCAGCAACTGGCAGAGGAGGCTGAGCTGCACTCGCGGGTCTCTGCTGGCTGCAACATGACTCTGAAGATACTCGGCCAGGCTGCACTGGTACCTGGGTGAGATCACCAGCCAATTCAAACAGAACCCACTCACTGATGCGAGTCATGTTTGGACATTTTACAAGTCTCTGGGCCTGTGGCTGCACCCAAAATTCTGCAAATACTACGTCTACTTCATACAAAGTCAATCGTTGAACGAAAAGAAAAATTTGCGTGTAAGCAAGCCTACATGTCACCATCTTCAAAAAGAGATACAATTCATCACTTTGTTGCAATAACTATTGCCGAGTCTGTTTTCATCATGTCTCATCCATGCATACTGATGAGCACCACTAAATGTTAAACTTTGTTTTCATTTCCACTCACCTGATATACAGTGCCAAAATAAATCTTTTATTGAAGTAAGCATTGCTCTGTGTGTTTTATTTCTACACCCTTGTGCACATGCATACACATTTTATCACTGATTTATTATAGAGATAACACCTGGAACCTTTTGATGGATCATGTGGAAGCAGTGTGTAAATGTGCTGGTAAATAAATGCCGATTTCCATGCGCAGCATTAAATCAGGTAAGTGTGGCTTTTCATACTTGGACCATTGTAAAAACTACATACAATTTTTTTACTTTTTTTTTTACTTATAAGAGACACAGTGAACCGATAACCTAATCCAACATATAAGTCAGTTTATATGTATAATAGATACACCAATACCTACAAAAGATAATACTATAATACAGAACAACAAAAACATACAAAAGCGTCGTGACAAAAGTGTTTAGTTGTGAAGCAAAGCTCTGTAAAAATTAAAAATTTCTCGAAGATGTTATGCAGACCCTAAAAATCGATACAAGGTAACAAAAAAGTTCGGGAATTCATATAAAACAGGGTACAAGAATATATTTCATGACACACACAAGTTAAACTCAGCCTCACTTCAAACAAGTGAAATAAACTGAAAACACCTACTAATAAACAGTTCATCATTTGTTGTCACATGAGAAATAAATACCCCCCATTCTAAAAAACAAAAGACCAAGAATAAGCTGAAATGAAGAAAGATTGTGAAACACAGTACAAATGCTGGTGAAACCAAAACTAAGCACTTTTTCTTTTTGGGAAAATAAAACAACAATGTGCTAAGTCATCAAAACCTTTTCAGCATGCCGCTGCTGCAGGGACAAGTACCATAATCTATAGAGCTGTGGAAATGAAAAATTTTAGGTGGAAACAAATTCAAATAATATTGTTTGGGTGTAAATCAAACAGAATAGTTTGCCATTACTCTTAGTTGTTTTTCTAATACTTCAGACTAAATTACAGAAAAAGATGTCACAGTAGGATCCCTAAACATATTCTTGCGAGATAAGAATGCGAAAATGTTTTTTTACTAGGTTTATGAAGCACAGGAAGAATCATATTTTCTAGTTTCGTAGCCCATTTTCTGATTTTCACTGAAAAACATTCTCACTGAAAACTACATACAGTCGAATCTCAATAATTCGAACTTGAAGGGGCCCAAAAATTTGTCTGAATTAGAAGAAGTTCGAATTATTGAAAGCTAAATAAATAGAGGGCTCTCCATGCAGTGGCGCATGTGCATTGAGCTAACACATGAGGGGAAAGTTTCAGAAGACTTACATTTATTCACAAATCACAGGACATCCGTTATTAATTTAAGTAATTGGCGATGCACGACGGCACGTTTCCCTTGCAGCGAGTCATTCAATTTCGCACGCAGCTTGCAAAGCATTTCTACTTCAGCTTCAGCATTCTCCAGGCAAGAGAAGTTGCACACGGAAATGTCTAGCGCCGACACTTTCTAAAGACGACAACAACAACGACCGCGTAGCCTCCCGCTCTCCGCTACGCAGCCGCAGCATGGCCCGGACGTGACGAGAAAGGTGGAGCGTCTCCACGCGAAGAGAAGCAGATCGGCATTTCAAAGAAAACCAACACTACACGGCAGCTTTTTTTTTTTTGCTCTCTTCACACGCGTCTTTGAAAGGAGAAGGGTTACGCAGCAAGGACAAGAAAGGGGAAGCTAGGCACCGGCGTGTGAGAGACCTCCCCCCCCTCAAGGCGCAGAGCCGTGCTCCCGCAAGGGGCAAGGGCTGCAGAAGATAGTGCCTTGTCCCTTTCCTTCAACCACACATTCATTACACCCAGCGACCGCTTTCTTTTGTTTTCCTCTCTCTCTTTGCACGCAGCATTAGAAGGAGAAGGGACTTTACTTGGCAGAAACGGAAACGGAAAAAGCGTGACTCAGGCGCGTCGCAGAGTGGCATTTGAGAGAGAGCAAACATTCCACCGTAGCTTTTTCTTTCCTTCGCGCGAAGCGTTGAGATGTCGCAGTTGCCGCCGCAGGATTAGGCGGGGTGCTGAGAGCATTTTCAGAGCGTGGTATGTTCGAATTAACTGTCGAAAGCGCTTAGGCGTTCGAATTACCAGGCGTTTTCGCCCATTGAAGTACACATAGCTTTGACTACACCTCATCGTGACTTCGAATTAACCGGAATTTCGAATTAAGCATGTTCAAATTAATAAGATTTGACTGTAGACGTGCAGTAAAATATTTGCTGTGCCTGCCTATGTGGCAAAAATCATTGCTGAAATCCCAAGAAAGCCGCATAAAAGAAAAATATTAAAGCTCCGCAACTGCACAACCAGGAATCATTTTGGGCTTACTGGAAGGAGCACTCCTCCATCTTAAATTTCCCACTTCAGCTAGGCCCTAGGTTGAGAATTAAGCATACAAAAGGCAAATGTTTGAAGTCATTTCGAGGGCTCCAATTGGCTGCGTCTGCCATGCTACTTCAGCACGACTCGCTATTTGTTCGAGCATTCCAAAAGAGTGGCATCTGCTGCTTGCGTGTCACGAGATCACGGCTGCTGAGAATTGCACTACTTAGCAACGCGTTCGCACCCATTCTGTGTTCACATGTCAGCAATAATTAAGAATACAATTACACTTTAGCTTGCCAGCTTTAAGCAGAAGATCTATCATTGGATTACATTTGTGCAGCGCAATTTTCGTGAACACAACAGCAGACACGTGTGTTGGACTGACTGTTCCATTGATCTGCCCTTCGAACCACTGGACAAACAAAGACCATCACAGGACGGCTCTTTGTTCTTGCGACCAAACAGGATGTACTTTGAAACATCAAGCACTGTGGTCATGGCTATGCCTAACTCTGCTTACGGCCCGACAATGCGCTGGTGTAAGCGATGATTCCAAACTTTGTGGGCAAGAACATTGTGCTCCTGGACAAGTGAAAGCAAAAAAAGCCAGAAAGCCTTTGTCATGACCAACAAATCCCCTGCTAGCTTCTCTAAACCGTCGATGGCCACTTTATATATTGACCGTGGAACCTCCAATCAAGCTCGTTGTGCAGTGACTGCCCGGGGCACTTGTGAGAGCAGCTAACGGTTTCGCACATTGATGCCCCCAAAACGTGAAACCAAGCACGCTGTACCCCGACGTATTGTCATTATATTTATCTTCTGATATTACTAGGCGAACACCAAAGAGAAATTATAACTTCGCTTAAATTGACAAAATGTACTCTGACAATAAGAATGTCTTGAATATCGCTATTATAAGTTCATTATTAGTAGAGAAAATCAAGGTTAAAGTTTTATTTTCAAATTTCCTGCCCAAATCTACACACGTGATGTCCAAAATTTCAAAATGCATTTTCGCAACATTGGCTCGATGAAATTTTCTGAAACTTCGTATGCTGGGTCTATGGCACCCACAGAAGATAATTTCACTGTCACCAAGTAAACAGCCCCAATCAGAAAAAAAATCTTACATGTTCCGTTAAGCCTGTTAACAAGTTTATACCGGGTGAAAAAGAAGTTGCACATGGTATTCCTTTGTCATGCCCGCAAGTTACCCAAACTGGTAGGTGTATTAATTCACGTTAACGTGAGCATGATTACAACTATAAGTACATGAGTCACCCTGCTAACTCAGCTACCCGTTGCAGCAGTTGCCATTGTCAGCCAGATTTCCAAAACACCATTGTCGTATAGAGATCTATAGATATGAAAGACACAGAAATTATTGAAGCGTTCACAATGCGCATGCTTGGTGAAGACAGCTGTGTTAGTGCACCATCTATACATTTGTCCAACAATGAATTTGCTTTTTCACGCGAAAATTTTAGATAGTAAAAAGGCCAGATTTGCTGATGTCACGCAGATGATTGCTCTCTTACCTTGGGCAGTGCAAAGGCTCACGCTTTCTTCCTTTTCGCTTTTGCCCCATACATATTTGTCATGTTTCCATCAAACTGGTAGTTCGCGCTCGAGGTGTGCTACCTGTGCCTTCCGTGTGTCCTTTTTTTCATAAACAATTCAGCACGTCGCAAGTGTCCACAATGGGTATAAGAGATACTATGTGCCTACATTGAAATACGTGTTGATAAGAAAATGTATACATGGTACCCTGTTTATAAGAGACACCTCATTTAAGAAAGAACAGCTACCTTGTGCATGCCTTTTATAAAGGGATTCAGCTGTACACGCAGAGTTGCTTAACTCTTTCGTTAGAATGTCTATTCAAAACGATCACCGGTGATTGATGTTTTGGATTGTCCATTTTGGTACGTTTTATTTGTTTTTTATGCATGCACTAAACCCTTTTAAGTAGTAAGCCCAGCCACTTAACTTTCAGGATAAATTTGAGTTAGCCCATTTTGGCAACATAGCCATTTTTGAAGACGTTTGTGCTAAAAAATGTGTGTGTGTTTTGATAAAATGCACCTGGCTAGCAAACATGACAGAAATGCATGCCCCCCCCCCCTTTCCCCCCCGTGGTTATACTACAGTAACATCAAAGTTCTATAATCAACAGAGCCTTTGCAAGGTAAATATCAAAATAAGGTGTCAGCCTCACATTCTCACAGTGTTGAGCAGTAATAATTGCCTGAAATTTATGCCAGCTGTTCAATGGAGAGTCGTTGCTAGGAGTCACAAAAAATTTATTCTACAGAAAGATATTTCCTAAGGTCCGCCACTGTATAAAGTGTGGAGACGGCCTT